GGGTATTTATCTCATCACTATATACACTCTACAAGCCTTTTCGAAAGTTATTATTGTGCGCTTCGAATCCGCCGTGTCCTAGATATGTTTTGTTGTTGTTGTTTTTTTCTCCTTTCCTAATTATTGCGTACTCAAAAAAGGAAAGAACGAGATTATTGTGCAAATGCCTAGTTACACTTGTTATAAAAAAACAAGAAGAAAAAAAAAGGTGTAATGCTTTTCGGCTCGGAAGAAATCCAGAATTCGATATTTCGCGCCGGCTCGAACGCGATGCGTATATTATGCTGTATTGTGTGTGTGTACAAGCGCGAGACAGCGAATAGCAACAGATATATAATCAAGTTTGTAGTTTCCAATGTGCATAAACGAAAAATCTAGGTCAAACAGAGATTCAGTTTTCTTTAGCTTCTTGCTAACGTACTGCAAACATAGATATATTTGCGTATAGAATTACATATTCATTTGTACCTACACAGATCAACGTTTTATATTATTATTCCACTAGTTAATACACTTAGAGTATTCAAGTCCGATCGATATTACATCATATCCATTGCTCACGTTTACGACGACATCGACTCTGAAAATAGCCTGGAAATATATTCGAAAAACATCGATTTGTCGAGGTATATGAAAATTTACTCGAAGCTGCTCGTATTAATTATTAAGAATTTAAGGTTTCAATAGCCGTTTTAAAGAAAATCAGTTTCACGTCCAAGCAACGCCTTTGTAATTGCGTTGAACGGCTTATATAAAATCTGGTGTATATAATGTATACTGTAATATATCGCCTGATGCAGCATAAGGAAACTTCCTATAAGTATATGGGGCCCGAGTGCATAGCCTGTGGCGCCCTCCGGTCCGATCTTGAGTATGGGGGTTTCGAATGTCCCGACTTATTATAGTAACAAGTTTGATCGAAACTGAATAAAATCAATTTTGAAATTAAATCAAAATTTCAATATAAGACGGTTTTAATTTAAAATGTCTCATTTTAACAATAATGAAAAAATGAAATCATATTGCAAAGAATAATAGAATCTTTCAACTTTGTAGCTATCCATTATCATCTCTGGCGATGTTATTTTGTCGTCCTCTTGTAAAATTCTTATTAAAAAGCTGCAGAATGGAGCTCGCCGTGATATATACAATACGAAAAATTCAAGCAAAGGACATATTACAATTGGCAGGGATACAAATATACAGGCGTACGCTAAATATGGGAGCGAATCCGTTTTCCCACAGCAAGAATGGCATACATCGAAGTGGATTTATTATCTAACTCAATATTCGCCCACTACCAATATTATGACTGCCACCGCTGCTACTGCGCTCCTATTCTAACTCCTACTACTTCTGGGATTACGCGTACAGCTACTGCAACTATACTAGTACTACCACTGCTACAAGCACTGCAACTACTACTACTACTACTACTACTACTACAACTACTATAGTAGTACTACTATTACTGGCTACAGGGGCGAGCTATCACTGCGCGCTACCTCCACTATCACTGCTACTACCACTCTCAGGGATGCTGTGGCTTCATTTATTGCACTCTCTGTCCCACCCACCCACACACGGATCTTGGCGCTACCGTGACGTATATATGTACATTTATAGGATATAGATATAGGTATACATAAATCGGGCGCACGTACATTCATCCACATATACACACACACATACACATATAATATACGCGTAAGCTGGCGGCGGTGGCAGCGGCGCGCATGTTCACGTGTAGAGGTATAGGGTTGCCCTGGTAACCTCGCTCGCCGCGGCGTGGCTGGCTTTTGCGACACCCTCACTCGCCTACCAGTAGGTAGTCGCCTTCGTATCCTGAGCGCCGAGCAGCAGCATGGGCTCTCTATATATGCCTCTGCTGCTGCTACGTTGCGTCTCTCTCTCTCTCTCTCTCTCTCTGTATGTTATGTAGGTACGCGTGTGCTTCGCTCCGCAAGCACAGCCAAGCTGCCGACTTTTACCCACCACGGGGGGAATCCCCACCCCGCGTGAAATTTCGCCAGTCATTTCTGCCGCGCGACTCTATATAATGGGGGCGAGTTTCATCCCCCTGCGTGCTACTGCTGCTGCTACCCTTCTCCTCGGGCTCGCTTGTGTAGTGTGCGTAAGGATCCCCTCCCTTGCGCCTACACATTTTACCCCTATCGCCAATACTGCTCTAGACTTTCCGCCTCTATCTGTATGTATGTGTGTGTGTCTCTCTCTCTCTCTCTCTCTCTCTCTCTCTGGGGTCGTCTCCCGCAGAGACTATCCGCGTAGCGTAATACCAGTTTTCTCCTCTCTCATTTGCACAATCGCACTTTGCCTGCTGTAGCTGCTGTTGCTGCTGCCACCGTTCTCGCTTTCGCTCTCTCTTTTGCTCTCTCTCGGCAACTCTTTGCCACAGAGAGCCCGTGTAAGCTACGCTCATGCATACGAATGGATCCTGCACACCCGTATAAACGTACATGTACATCTACACGTGTAGATGTAGTACGTGTACGTCTATGTGTATAGGTATACGCACGCCACTTCCGAATATTGCATCCGCTCCTCGCTCTCCACGTCCTTCTCCTCCTCCTCAACTTTTATTCTGATTATTTCTTCCTTTTGGAGTGATTTATGGATATTCTTTCAAACGCGCCGAATCACACAGCAGATAGACGTACACGAACGACTATACATACAGTTCGAAATGAGTCACAGACGTCGCCTTCTTATAAACGTATATGTATAGCCGCCAGAGCCGCCTGTCAACGAGCAGATTCTCACGCGTCGGGTATTTTTCCTTCGTTCGATCAGCTCGACAACAAGTACCTATATATACGCGTATAATCAAGCACGCGGGCGAGCGAGCGCGAGTCGAGCTTTCTCATTTTTCGAGGCTTTGCTACATTCGCACCCATATAGATCTAGCCTCGTCGCTGAATATAAATCGTAATGTATATAGCCGTATACCCATGTAATACCCCCTTCACGCGCTTACGCATGCGAGATTGCACGTATACACACACAAGACGTAATAATATGCCTATTCCGCATGAATGTTAGACGCAGCAGAAGCTTGCGGTGCAATGCGCGGCAGCGCCAACGCTCGGGCCGTCAATGCTCGCAACCTCGCGCGATCCAAATTATTCCAGCGCGTGCTGCGTACAGTATGTGCAGTTCAACATCCGTTGTCTATAATTGTACGCGGGTGCTTTCTCTCTCTCTCTCTCTCTCTCTCGCTCGTTCATTCTGTCTCTCGCGACACATTTAAACCGGCAAAAGCTTTTGCGCACGAGCATCTTTAAGCAGATTTTTCAAGCTCGCTTGCGCGCGCGCACACGCTCATAGTAGCACCACCACCACCACCATCACTACCACCAGCTACCGCTTCGTCTACCGTTTCGACTCCTATGTATACGTATACATGCTACATTTCTCCCTTCAACCCCCCTCCACTCCCCTTCGTTCTCTCTCTATCTCCGTCTCTCTGTCGCTGTGTAACGCTTGCTCACCCAGACTTTGTTTGGGCGTAAGCTCGATTATATTTTGCACGAGTATTAGCGCGATGCTTATTTCAACTGCGAAACTCACCGCATACCGAGCAAACGCACCCCTTCGCGCTCGGCGCGCACCAAACTCCTATGTATACATATCGATTGTTTTGCGCTTGAATGTGGGCTTTGCCACGGATTTCATAGCTTACTTGCTTTGCTTTCATTATGCCTCCTGAATAGCGCGCCTGTATAGAGCCGTCCTACTCGATGTTACATGTTACACGTTACGCGCCTCGTATTGCTCGATGATCGCTCGACTCGTACCGCACATATATAGTTAATGTGATGCTTTTATCGCACTTAAACATGTCACGTGTCTTATCGCGGGCACAAAATATCGGACCGTTTACTTTTTAATTAAATTTGTTGCGTTGTTCGAGTCTATTCCGTTTCCCTTGATTGAAATTTGCTGTCTCAGAATTTTTAATTAATCTGTACTTTTACTGTTTATATTTTGAGAATTTAAACAATTTTGAAGCCAACAAGGTTTGATCAAGTTTTTTAAACAATCAAAATATGTAAGTTGACATCGGCGGTAACAAAGAACCATTTAGACTAGCATTTTTCATCAAACTGTATTTATTATTTGAAAAAATAACTTATTCACGAAGATTTATTGATGACCTTTCATTCAAAAATAGTCAATTGAAATAATCGCGGTACAAAAGTAAAAGAGTAAACTGTATAACACATTTAATCCAACTATGTAACATTTCACTTTCACAATGTTTGCGCAATGAGTCTTACTTTGTATGTAACAATAAGGTTGAGACAAGAAATCAGCGATGACCACTTGCACACCTTTTGACGCCAATAATAAGATTAAAAATAATTATCATCAAAAGTTAATCGAATGAAGTTTCGAGTCTTACCATGTCATGATACTTACCGACGGATGTACACCTTGAACCGATGCGTTAGAAAACTGTGTGACCGACATAGTATTTCATATGGTACATACCGCAATTCTTTGCATAATGTTTATTATTAGAGTATCAAGTACGTTTTATTGCACAAAAATAATTATTGACATTCCAACGTATAATTTTTAAAAATGAACAGAAATATTATTTATATTTTCTAGAGTTATTTAAGGTTTGTTTTTTTGAGATAACATGAAAATCTTCAACAGAATGATTTACTTTCTACGTGTTTCTCACAAGATAATTCTTAAAAATTGTCATTTTAGTCATTTCTTAACATTTTGACACACTTTATTTAATGTCACTGATAAACCTTATGCGTCTTTAAAGTTGATCGTATCAACATTCGAAAAACAAATAAATCTTATTTTTATTTTTGTTTTGTCTCAAGATAAGTTCCTTTCATAAAATGTAGGGTATCTCAGGTATAACTATTATTACTTGATAAAAAGATTGCACTTAAAAACTCAAAGTACAAGAAGTGCATATAAAGATTCATAGCTCAGTTCAGTGCGAAATTCTCGACATCGTTTACAATAAAGTAACAAAGTACTTAGTACGTCTTAGTATTCATAATGAACAAAAATTTTAGTCACTTTCCAGTTATAGTGCTTCTCGCGTGCTTCATTCTTATAAACAAGGTGAGTTTTGTATAAATAACTCAATATATTAGCTTAAATGTAATAAAATGCTTGAACTAATACAAGACATTAATCAATAAACTAGTGAAAAAAATTACCTATTAATTTTAGGCATCAGGAACTGATGAAGCAAGATTTTTCGGAAGATTACCGTTTTTGAACGCTAATGACAATAACTATTGCGATACTGCGTGTGGGAAACAACAAACACGATTTGCTTTTTTTAGCATTTTAAGAAATTTTTGCATATCGAGATGCCCAAATTCAGTAGTTGCGCATCTTGGAAACTCAAATTCAGGAAGTTCCCCAACAAATCCAAATGGATCACAATCCAATATCAATAATATTATGCATCAAGTTATGCAACAAATGGCAAATAATCCCTCCCCCGGAGGTATTCCCAATTTTTCAATAGCTCCTTTCCCGGGCAATGGAAACGGTCAACCGCAGATTACATTTGGCAACCAACCTGGCAATGGTATTGGTCAAATCGTGCCAAATCTGCAAGGTCCGGCAAACGGCCCAACAAACACTCTTTCACCGGGAGCTCCAACTCAAACGGGAACTTCTCCCGCGGCAGGAGCTCCAACTGCACCGGCGGGTACTCCGGGTGCAGCAACTCCTGCAGGTACTCCAGGTGCAGCAGCTCCTGCAGGTGCTCCAGGTGCAGCAGCTCCAGCGGGTGCTCCGGGTGCAGCTCCTCCAGCGGGTGCTCCGGGTGCAGCTCCTCCAGCAGGAAGATAATAAGAATTATAATTTTATGGTAACTGACTACTGTACAATAACAACATTTCAGTCATTGAACTGGAAAAATATAACAAATAATTGTTCATTTAATAAATTAATTAAATCTTTTTAGCTATTAACTGCAAAATTAGTATTGAGTGTCAAGACATCAACAAGAGAGGATCTTTACTATTCTCAAAGTTTTTATTGTCTGCCCTGGTAAATACGAAAGAAGAACAAAAAATGTAAATTTCTAAGGATATAATTGGATCGTGAGATAAATAAATTTTTTATTTAAATTTAAGCTGCTTTATTTTCATCAAATATTGCTTTTATCCATCTTCTTACTTTTATTTGTATTTAGCATTTCGATTTTATTTTTACTGAAGAATTTTGTAATCTTTAGTGTATACAATGCACAGTCGCTTCTTCTCTCATCGTAAACGAACACATTGGTTATTTAGTGCCCACAAGAAACTTTCAACTATTTTTTTATTAATATTTAAATTGATTTAAAGGTAATTCCTCATTCTAATTTCAAACTAAATAATTTCTACTCAACACCATAGTTATAATTTGACGACACCAAGATTTTTATAATTACGATTAAGTTGAATTAACTTTCGGCTAATCATCTTATTGATAACATAATCATTAATAAATTTATCTATTATTATAATTAAAAAAATTATTCTTTTGACACTAATAGTACTATTTGAATTCATTTGTTTTTAAAATCTATCATTTTGCCTGTTTAGGATGTTATGACATGTTGACAATCATGGCTTTTTTGGATAAAAGTTGAACAACTTTTACAACTTGAATGAATAGTATATAAAGATTATAATCAAATTCGATTTAAATTATAATTTTACATACCTATTTATAAAACTGAATACTTCTCAATGCCCATTCATAATTAAATTTAATTAGAAATAATATAGTAATAGGTAATAATTCGATTAATTTTTCAAAATGAATAATGTGATCGTGAGACCTAAGCATATTGCCATACTGGAACTTGTCAAGTAAATTCATCGAAATCGTGCAAAATAAGACTAGTGAAAGTGAAGTATAGATGAAAGAAAAGATTAGATATGACTTGAAGCTGATTTTTTATTATGGTCAATGTATGAGGTAACTATGAAACGTATCACATTTATTTGGCAGACCTGTCATGTTCTTTTTTTTTCCAAATCAAATTTTACGCGTAAATTCATTCTTGATAAATATTACGAAATTATAGTATCCGGGCTCTCTTGTTTTTTATAAACCTTAAAAAATCTATTTTAAATTTTTTCTTTCGTAAAATAATTTCATTGATCAGGTTCAAATGAGCATCAATAGTCTTGAATAAACTGTTACATATAAATGAACGAAAGAGATCCGATCTCGATTTATAGTAAATTTCAAAATCTTCAGAAGGCGTTGCTTGATCAAAAAGGGTTTTAGTTGTCTCATTTCTAACTTAGTTCTAAATCAATAGCGCGGATAATTTCTCAAATCGAGTATCACTTCTTGTATTTTTCTGTTCAAATACATGTATAAGCTGTTCAATTTGGTATAATTGTATATAATTAAATACAGTCCGTATGAGAACGCACTTTTCTGATTTCATCATTATATTTGATAGTAAAAAGTATAAATCATTTTTTACCTTTGTTATACTTATTTTTCCTGAACATTCTTTCCTTGATTGGAGAACAATAATACTCGTGACACGTGAGTTTCAGCTATTTTCACGCAAAAGTGCTTTCATCACGAAGTTGACGTTCAAAGTTTACTATACATGGCGCTTTTTCATATATAAATAATATCCTCTATCATCTCTTGCGCGCATACTAAAAAAAGAGATTCATTTTATGGTAAAAGATAATCGAGATTGAAGCCTTGAAATTTAGATAGACATTGTTCTTTGCAAACTTTTAGACATTGTGTAACATTATTTCGGCGACGATGCATTAAGTGGGTGAATGGAAACTTTCAAAATCCAAGGTCACAATTGGTTCCTTGTACATCGATTTATTCAGATCAAATTAACTTACACTTTGAAACTTAAAATCGAACTATTATTTTGCATACTTTTTGCTTTTTACTTATTTTTGTGTATAATATTCTACGAATAAAAAAAAATAGAAGAAAAATACATTTTTGCCAATATTTTTAAATCATTAAAGTGTCTAAATTAGTTATTAACCCTGAAAATAAGCCATTTGAAAACTTTTAAGCAATGCATGCATTGAATACAAATAAAATACATTTATAGTCTTTTTTTACACCTTTAAATAATTCATGATACTATCCGATTTCAAATTAAATTGATTTATTTACATTCTCTTTAAGCAGTGTTACTGTAATAAAATGTTTCGTGTTAAAGATCAAATGAAATAGAAAATAATAAAATGATAAGAGAAATAATGAGTTCTGTAAGATTTAATAATTGTAATATATTATATTTATAAACTAAAAGTGTCATGGGTTTCGTATTCTATCGAAATAGAATTGAATTTTGCTGAATTTTTATTCTGCAATTGTAATAGAAATTAACAATGAAATTATCAAATTTATTTTTAAAAGCAGCACAATAATTATATAATAGTTTGAATTACTCTCAATTAGTCATTTTAAGTTTTATATAAGCTTCAAATTTGCTTTTTAGATTAACTTGAAATCCATGAAGTTTCTTGCAAAGAAGTAATACACTCGTTGAACTCTAACGAACACATAAAAATAGTAAAAAAAGGGTACGATGGATAAAGTCATTTAATAAATATAAGGTGGGTACGAAGTTACGATGACCTACTGAGATAAAACGTATAGCCAATATTAAAAAGATTCTCGATTATTGCAAACCATTACAGGTTAAACACATTTTTATCGTAACAGTGAAGTTTAAAATAAATAGTTGCTCTCAATTATTTAGTCTGCTTTAGAACAATTGATAATCCATGAATTCTCAATGTTTACATTAATATCTTGAGTATTTTTCATCGTCATAATTGTGCAAAACATTTAAACTTCACAGAGCAATCAGCAAAGCTGGGCATTGAAGAAAAAGATGAACAGATATTAATCTTCATCTTTGAAATAAAATATTTTACTCTGCAGTTTTTAGTTTCAGTGGTTGAGCGAAAAACTCTGTGACGAGGTGAAAGTGAATCTTTGCAGAGGAAAATACAGCGCTCAATCAGGGTCGACAAGAACGGCGATGTATCCGTGGAAATATCTAAAAAGGTGCTGACTCAATATCATGTATTAGCATGCGTTCATAGATGAAAGTTACATAAGTACTTAGCGCTAAAAAATACTCCTTCAGAACTTGCATACAAGTGCAATCATTTCAGAACTTCACCTGGAACCTGATATTGAGACCACACAGAAATAGTTTTTGAAGGTGAAATAATTTGAAACAACAGTTATAATTTTTCAGATCTGTTAATTATTTGCCCCACGTCCTAATCGTTAGCGCCGTTTAACGTAATTTGTTTCGTTTTTATTTGATATCGTTGAAACATATCATTATCCTTATTACATCTGTTATATCACACTTGCTCTTTGACTTTCTTCAAACAGTAGTTAATTGGTAGAAGTAAATGAAAGTATGAATTTTTATTTTTCAGTCGATGTAACTTAAATACTTGAAATGTTAAATTTCTTTATTTTCTAGAAGGAAAATTGATGTTAATGGATGTATTAAGATTTTAAATTTTCTGCATCGCTATAATCATTGTACTTAAATTACAATAATAAAAACTAGAGACATAAGATAAAACAAGAAAGTATTGCGAGAAAGAGTTATCACGCACATCGAATTGACAAAGTAATCACAGTCAATTAACCGTTTCCTTATTTTGCTAATGTTAAACGCATGCTAATTTCTTCTCTCATTATAATTTGATAACAGAAAATACAAATCCACAAATTAATTGTAAAAAATATCACTTTCGGCTCATTTGCAAAATGTAGTTCAAGCTCAAGCAGTAGGCTCAAGTTCAATTGTTTCACTTTTTAATAGATGCAATAATCATTGCCAATTGACTTTTATTGGTGATTTATGGATGAATAAGACGTTATTACGTAACAATATTAAGGGTATACAATGCTTCGAAAGTTTTAAGATGTTTTATTCATTTTTTAGAATGCATACAAAGGTCAAACTCATAATTTCACGTGACTTCATTTTTTACATTTTCAGCATATTTTATTTTCAGATCCGAGAACGAATGAGTAAGGAGAGCCATTGTAAGTAATTGTATAGCGAAAGCTCACACTTTGCACGAGTGAAAAGGCAAGGCAAACGATCGTCACCCTTGTAACCATAGCTCATATCCTTCCTTTCTCTGTCATAACGCGCATAAGACGGTTAATACACTCACACACACAAAAAGTGTTCTTGTCAGTCACGTACCTCATCTCGCGTATCCTATACGTGGTCTGCACCGTGCATATGCATCGCGAACATTTTTATATCCTTAATGCCTCCTGGTCATATGACTTTGCTCCCCACCTGCGAGGAATAAATTTCCCACTCTTGACCCAAAAATACATTACAACTTTTACTCTTGACTTTTCGGAAGTCTTCACTCTCCCTCCTGCTGGGTGCACCTCTCACTTGCAAAGTACATACGTACGCGGACACGAGATACGCAAAGCCTCGCGGGTGCTGCTGCTGCTGCTGCTGCCGCTGCTACCACCACTTCTTCACTTTTCAACGCGAACAACCCCGAAAGCCTCGCGGGCGCTCGATTCAAGAAAAGGACAGATATCCAACAGGAAACGTTGCAGTGAAGCTTTGACGCTGAGCTTTGACGCTGCAGCGAGTGCGGCGTGAACCGGCGTGATCGTGCGTGCCCATTGCAGTATACCGCGCTTCGATAGATATCGTCGATAAGATTACAATTTTCATTTTTGGATTTATTGTTTACCCGTGAAAACCAAAACGAAGCGTTTCATGTGTGGTTACGAGTCAAGTGGAGGTTAGATGGATGATTGAGTGATTAGAGTTTGAAGGTGATAAATGTTCAGAGGCATCATGAAGTTTAGGTATGCGAATGAACTTTTGTTTAAATAATAAAATCAAATGTACGAAGACCGATTTTATGAATGATTGTTTCTTACTCAATGTGTCAAACATTTTCGATCATTGGTTCTATTCAACTGAGATTTGGTTTAGATACTTTAAATACAACTCAAATTAAACATTTAAAGGGTGTACTTGCTCAAAATGCAATTATTCTAATTAAGTTCTCAACTTTTTTGATAACGATCTAATCCATAAACAATTAATTGAACTTAATGAATTAAACGAATTTTTATTTTTAAGTTCCTGACATGTATCGCATGTCAGTTAGTAAATTAATCATTCAAACTCAAAAACGTGTGAAATTATGATGCAAGTAACTTTCTAAATGTGTAATGGCAATAATTCAAAAAAATTGATAGGTTGAAATACCTCAATGGGAAATAATTTATGTACAACGGTCGACTTGTATTAATTTCATTTTCTTAATCGAACCGTCAATTATAAAAGTCCCAAATGGTATACTATCTTCGAGTTAGAGTTGCCAGACTTAAACTATTAAATTATCTTTTATGATTATAATTTGTTGCGTCTATTATTGCACCCGTGTATTCTTCCGTACGCCTCTCGACAAGAAGTAATTTTCATTGTACGCAGAATCATAATTACGAATCATAAATAATTCAGCCGTTTGATGTCGCATTTCGTTTCTTTTCACTCTATTGAACAAGTGCATTACTTAATACTTGAATAAGGATGTGAAAAAAAAAAAAGAATTTTAAACCGTAACGTAAGAGCCTGCACTGCACTGGCACAGTTGCGCGCGCGGTGAGAAAGAGCTGTGTTTTGAAATGCATAATTTTTCACGTGTTGCAGACGTTTTGAAAGAACTTTGAACTTTATTCATGAAAATATTATATTGTAATATTCTAATGGCTCATTCAGTCCTGTAATCACTCAGAAGCACATTAGAGTCGATATACATTGTCTAATGGGTGATTAAACTATAAAAACCACTCGGCAGCGTCAAGGCCTAGTTCAAGCACAATTACCCCAGGCGCAGATTTATTTAAATACAGCAATCAAAGCATCGGAAAGTGCAACAAGCGCTTGTAACGGTGTTGTACCTAATTACCATAATCAACGAAGATAAACATCTTGAAACGAGCTTTTTATTGAATTTTGACCTAATTAAATTTTCTTGTCATCATTGAGCTTTATTGGAAAATCATCACTTTTATTTTTGCTCGGACATTGAGCCTCATGAATCGTCTCATAAAATCATATTATTGCCCCAACTCACTGCCGATTTTCACCATCTAATTCAACGAAACAGAACGCAGCCCTGTGCGTTCATTATGAGCCAATCACCCGCGTTACGAGTTCGGTGTCTCTCTTTCTCTCTCTCCCTCTCCACAGAGAGCCATGAAAAAAACAAGATTTTCGCGCTCTCGCGCGTGACTCGATTATAAGCCTCTTCCCCGATAGCGATATGTGTCATAAGCGTGTGACAAAAAAGAGCTCCCTCTCTCTATCTCTCACTCAGTCAAAAATATCGCGTGCGTGCAGTTTAGCGCGTGCTGCATTTATAAGCGCATTCAAAATGTGTGTATATAATATAATAAAATGTTCGCACGCGGCGCCGCGCGCATGCGAAAGTGAAAGGGAACTCTCGGTGGTATATATCTCTTTTTTCGCGGCGGCGAGCACATGATACTACATACATACACGTACATGCGCAATATATAGTCCGATAGTTCTTGTTCTCCATTTGTATATGTATGCATGTGCGTGATAGTGTGCGTATATAATGCGAGCTCACGTGATATACCTTCGTGTATCATATATAGAGAAAGCACGGCGGAGAGCCGCGTTACCCGAAAATTCTCCGAAGCATTATGCATCTGTCGCGAAACCACCACCACCACCACCACACCACCAATGCAACTACACACCGTCGTCGTCCTCCCTTTTGAAAAGCGCATGTACATGCACGCGTTTCCCTCTCGCGACCGCGTGTAATACTCATATATACACGTATCGTTACGTCAGCTATTCTCTTTGCTCTTGTACCGATACATACGTTACGTGCAGTTGACTATACAAGCGGGCTGCTGCTGCTGCTGCTTTTTTCCTTTTCGCTAGCGCCCGGGTGATTGTCGCTGCCCTCGACCTACCTTCGGCACAAAATTTTCCTTCCAAAGCCGCGGTTTTTTGCATTTCTTTTTATTCGCCATTGTGTTATTATGTTATGTACATTGTCCCGCGCCGTCGTACACCAACCCCTCTGAGAATTCTGTAATTGTGTTTGATCTTACCACGCGTACCCACGATCTTACTCTTGGGGGTTTTGTATTTTTTATTTTTTCCGTAAATTCGATTACGACTTCGAAGCGTGGAGAGTTAATACATACCGTATCCGTATAAACAATTGACTGCTCTCACTTGTTGCATTGTTTACGTCAAGGAGACAATTATATTTGCGTGCGATTTATGGGCGCCCGAAGTTCAAACTATACTTATCGTGCGGGTACGAGCTTGGATATTGTGCTGTTACAAAGTCCAGTTGGCCAATAGACTTTCACGCCGATCAGATAATTGAATTCTCCGCGTGCCAATCTGCCGAATAAAACTACGGCCAACGATTGTTAATCCTGCTACCCCGATATTTCTGATTATTCATGTTATGCGCGACTCGGTTTTTTCGATGTAGTCTGAAATAAATGTCTTTGGAATTATTGCTTGAAAACTCTTTTCGTTCCCAAATTAAATTAAATTGAATTTGAAAATTTGCCATTAGAGATGCCTCCGAGCCACAATTAAATTTCTTGAAAAAACAAGCGTTTGATTTGTCGGCAATATTTTTTGCATCAATTAACCAGTTTACGTATTTTTGAAGACTTTTACTTTTTAGAGCAATACCCAGTTACTACCAAAAAGACCAAAATTTTGCGTAACTGCGATTACGAAACAAAAAGTATAATGTGTAAATTTATTAGTCGTTTGTTTTAACCGTAAAAAAGTAGCTTCTATAAGATGAGTTTCACCGTTTAAAATTTTTTGTAAAAAACGATACACTAATAAAAAGGATTGTTTAATTTTGGTAGCCAGAGTAAATTTGAGAAATAAATCTTTTGTCTTGGACAGTCTGAATTTTAAGTTAGTGGACATTTTGAATATTGGTTTATTATTAATTAAGATTAAAGCAAGTATGGAAGAAGATTGAACATTGGTAATATATAGTCATATTGCACATCGCTTGGATTGCAGCTGTTTTACATGAATCGCTAGTTTTCCCTATGAAAACATGCATTAACATCGAACTTTACAAGAAACAGGTCGAGAAAAATCGGTACCGAAGTTTCGCTTTTACGCACATTACTATAACACCGCTACCTAACAGCATCGAAATAAGTGATATTGATTGATCCACATGTTGTAATTTATAGATTCATCGCGATCCTTTAACATACATTATATAGCACCAGCGCACACACCATCGACGAGTCATACAATTTGCATTTGAAATTTTTGCAGATTTGCCAATCCGGCTGCAGCGAGCAACCGCTCGACTTTGTCAGCGCACGTGTCTTTTCTGCTGGTAGCGCTGCTGCTCGCTTGCGCTTGGCGCGAGTCGAAATCTCTCGTGCAGGTACTGCCGCCGCCGATCGTACATAATAACGGGGCCGGCGAGGAATGCGCTTTGATCATCGACGGCCCGGGACGCAGCAGCCTCTACGATTACGCTTACCACCTTTTGCGTCGATCGGCCGAGTGAGTGTTTTTATGTACACATTTTTACACGAGTCTACCACTAACTGTGTCGCTATCTTAACTTGTATTAGGAGGCCTACTTTTTGCCACGGACGTGGTGGCGTGTGATTTTATAATTACATCCCAGGTGAAATGTGACCGAGTTTTAATTGAGTGATCGACTTTTTTCTTTAATTATTCCATTTTCATGCAACGGATTAACGTTTATATCGTGATATTTTCGTGATTTTTTTTGCGAGCATGGAACTCGGTAAAAAATCGAAGTACAGTTTTCACGGCATGGGGCGGTCTTAATGTAAAGCAATAAACGCGAGCACGTGGCTAAAGATGAGTCACGATTGCATTATATGAAATCCTTTTCTCTCCAAAATCGAATGCACTTTCTCTAATTAGTTCTTTTATTTTCTTTTTGCTTTTTTATTTCATAATTACATTTTATTTTGTCATATCTCGCCGGCACCGTTCGAAGTGAGAATTTCGCAATCGCATTACTCTTGCGCAACCGTATAATCTAGAAATGTTACTTTTCCAATAAACTAGATACTTTATTAAAAAATTAAGAAAATATCGTTTTCATATATGTTCACAAGTACGATGTGTATGTATAGCCTCGCGTAAAAAGCAGCGTGTCAAAAACTCGAGGCAAAGTAAATGAAACAAGGCATAAAATTAGCTCTGTTGTAAATTAAAAACCAGTTGATAAGATTACCCAGCAAAATTACCCAGAGCTGAAAAAAAAATACTCGATCCTAGAGGATAAATATCACAATAGTTGTAGACGACTAGGAGAAAAAAATAATAAATGAAAATTTAACATGTTCAGACCAACGGCTTATGTATCGCGGACTTGCATCACTTACGAGGCTGTCAATCGTGCCTTTATCGAAGCATCAAAGCGTATTTGTAAGTTGCAGTTTAATTTGTTGTTATACATGGGGGATTTGTTTGCGGCGCGATTGCGCAACGCAACGGCAATCTTCGTGTACGAACTCTATGTCTTTTTTTTTCTTAATTGACGTTACAGTTGTATCGAAACCACCTAACGAAAAATGGAGGTTCGAAGATATCGGAGCGGTTGGCGAGCTACTGCTAGATATAACATCGAATTTAGCATACACGTGAGTATAAGGGGAATATTTTCTCAGATATCGTAATCATGAGGTTATTTAACGCGGCAACGTCGATTTTTTCAGCTACGGCCTAACGACGGAGCAGTTGGACAACCTTCTGCCGCTTCTCGACACGTCGAAAACGCTCATTCGCGACGTTTGCCCGGCCTTCCTGAGCAACGTGCAGTGCAAAGCCGGCAAGTATCGGCGCTTCGACGGGCTCTGCACGAATTTAGAGCACCCGTCTTGGGGCGGCAGTCTGCAGCCGTTTGTCAGGTAACGATCATACACGAAATTGTCACTTTGACGGCTATGTAATGTAATGCAATGCATGCCACCGTGTCACGAGTTAAGATATCACGGACGTACTTTCTCCGCCGCCACACCTCTCGCGGGCGAGGTGAACCTTGAAAACGAAATGGGTCTCCCTTGTGCGCGCACACACATAATGCATACGTATCGTTCATGGCAAACTGGATTCTAAAGTAGCTTTTGGGTAAAAATATCTAACGTGTAAGTGTGCATGTGTGTGTGTGTGTGTGTGTGTGTGTGTGTGTGGGGCAGCTTTGAACTCGCGCCGATAAATCATCAAGGATAATGCATCGAAACCGGAAAATTCTTTCAAAAGTTTCCGCAACGTGTGACCGCGTGCCACGTGACCTTGCAAATTCAAAACTGATAATCAAGGTCTTCTCATTCTTTCGAGTGACCTCTGATTATCTTTCAGGATCTTCTGGATTGAATTCGAGACTTTCGATTGTGAAAGTAACAGGAACAAAAAGATTCAAGTCCATTAATATTGCGCTCTTAATTCATACAACTTTATAACTTGCATTTTTATATTCTACAAAACATGACCGATAATCATTTTATTCATTTAATTTTCTACAATTTGTAGATTAATGACTCCCAAATTTGCCGACGGTATCAATGCACCAAGGGTTGCCGTTTCTGGACGCGATTTGCCCTTAGCTCGAGTCGTTTCACAAACCATACACCCTGACGAGGGCTTTCACGATCATGCAGGAACCGTTATGGTCATTGCTTGGGGTCAGTTCATCGATCACGATTATACTCTGACTGCCACCCCGTTAGGTAAGAGAAGATATTTTTGTTTTTCAAGCTGGCACATGTTTCTTTTTCGTCAAAAATAAAAATTAAATATTTTTTTATGCAAATCGTATAGATCCTTACGATCGAAACGATCCCGAAGAATGTTGCGGTCGCTTACCTCAAGACAAGAATCCTTACTGCAACGAGATCATCATTCCCGAGGACGACTATTTTTACCGATTGTTCGGCGTGCGCTGCTTGAACTTCGTGCGAGCTTTCTCGGGCGTGAGGCCCGGCTGTCGTCTGGGCAAACGTGTCCCCTTCAATCTGCTCACCGGCGTGCTCGATGGTAATACCATTTACGGTGTCAGCGATGAGTATGCCAAGTAAGTGACCGAATAAATTTCTTTACGAACAATTTTTATAAATTAAAATATATTTCACTTGACAATAGCAAACTTCGAACGGGTTACGCCGGATTATTACGTATGAATCCCGTGTTCGAGAAGTACGGCCTAAAGGATCTGCTGCCGCTGAAACTCGACATCCCTGACGAAGGTTGCACGCGCCCCAATAAGTCCATGTACTGCTTCGACGCCGGTAAGATTACGAGAAAATGTAAAAATCTTGCTCTCGATTAAACACGACCGAATTTCGCTCGACAGGCGAGATCAGAGTGAACGAGCAATTGGTCTTGACTTGCATGCACACGCTCATGGCTCGCGAGCACAATCACCTGGCCAGAGGCCTGGCCCTGGTCAATCCACACTGGGACGACGAGACTCTGTTCCAGGAGGCGAGACGAATCGTCATAGCGCAAATACAGCACATAACTTACAATGAATTTTTGCCCATACTGCTCGGCAGAAACGTCATGCAAAAGTTCGGCTTGACTCTGGAGAAAGACGTGAGATTGAATTTCTTTTCATTGCACCATTTATACTTTTTAAAGCGCCTTTTTATTTGACAAATTTAGGGTCGATACTGGGACGGCTACGATTCTAGTGTAAATCCAGGTGTACTGGATGCCTTCGCAGCCGCAGCTTTTCGATTCGGTCACTCGCTCTTGCCCACCGCAGTCGAACGCTGGAGCAAAGCTCATAAATTCATCGGTACTGCGCTTGAATTATAAAGTTCACATTGACAAGTTTAAGCATATAAAAACGTGACGAGTTGATGTAATGAAACATTTTCAGCTTCGAAGAGACTGTCGGATCTCATTAGAAGACCGTTCGACCTGTACAGAGCCGGAGTATTCGACGAGTACTTCATGGGCTTAATGAATCAAGTGGCACAGGCCATGGACGACTCGATAACGCAAGAGGTAATGCATAATCAATGTCTTTTTTTTTGCACGATGAAAATCGAATCCCGCGAGCTCGTTTGTCGCGATCCCGCCGAGTAATGAATAACGACGACGACGCGTGTGCGTGCGCGAAAGAGCGTAAAAATGTCTCTCGGGCAACATATACTTTATTACACGTGCTCGATCTCTTTTACGCACAGCCGAGTTTTAAAATTTATAAATAACGGCGCAACACAAGTCGAGCGCGGCGACAAGTAATATTAGCTCCGAGGCACAAAGTTTATTTGCTCGCTCGCGGGGCCGCTGCAACTTGTCGCGGCGCATTTGTTACTCTCTCGTATACTAGTTCGAGTGTTCGAATAAACGAAAGTTGTCCCGGCCGAAACAAAGCCATATATAAAAAAATGAAACGTATTACGCTTCGCGCGCGTGATCCCCGTGTTTACGCGCTAACTTACATCGACATTTATAATGTGTATAATCTGGTGAAAATCTCGCCTCTCTCTCTCTTCTCTCTGTCCGTCTCTCTTTCGATAGGTCACCAATCACCTTTTCAAGAAAGTCGGAGCCAAGCACGGCATGGATCTCGTGTCTTTAAATATGCAGCGAGGTCGTGAATTCGGCATTCCTGGATACATGGAATTCAGGTGCGTATTGCCTCTGGCGAGTTGCATTGCTATATAGCACAACTTAATGCGTGTAGCTTACTAATGTTTCGCGATGCTTGTATGCGTGTGTCCTAAGACACGCAAAACCGATACAGCACGCTTTACATTTCGTCAGGGGCGTGTATGTGTGTGCGAGTGTCGATCCGTACTACGCATTTTCTCATGGATACGTTTTTTCTCTTCTTTTTTGCTCTTTACCATATCAGGAAACTCTGCGGACTGCCTTGGTCGGACTCCTTCGAGGATCTCTTTGGGTCGATGCCGAACGAGACTGTGCGACGATACATGTCTATTTTCGAGTAAGTAAATATCGAATTATTTCTAATTAATTAAGGAATATTTTGAGTTTTAGAAAATTTTCAAATTATCAAATTATATTTTTAAGATAAAATTTTTACTTTGCACAAGACTTTGGGAAGTAGAAATATCGTTTCGTTAAAAAATAAAGTTATTATTCTTAATACTATCTTAAGAGGGAAAAATATAGCGTAAATGAAAAAAAGAAGTGAGTCTTGAAACGTCCAAATGCGATAATATCTTTCACATCACGTTAATGTTGTACCGGCACGCGCTCCAAATGGACTAATTACTATCCCCGCTGGATACGCGCCACGTTCGTAAGACGTAATACAATTAAATAATATTGGTACTTTAGCAAAAATACGCCCTGCCAAATAGCATGTACGAACTAATTAAGATTTTCTTGTCTCTCCGATGATAATCTTTATTTAATTTTTATCAGACAATCTAACGCTCGATATATGAACAATTCTAAAACAAAATCCTTAAAACCGAGTGGGTGGCAGCTCGTTAAAACAAAAATATACAATGACCAGATGATTCACTTGCAAAAATGAAAATATTACAGACACCCTGCGGACGTGGATCTTTGGTCCGGAGGAGTATCCGAGAGGCCCTTGCCCGAGAGCATGCTCGGGCCCACTTTCGCCTGCATCATCGCCACGCAATTCAGCAACACGAGACGCGGAGATCGTTTCTGGTACGAGCTGCCCAATCAGCCGTCATCTTTCACTCCCGGTGAGTACTTTGTATACTTTTTTTAGGCTCTCGATCCATTCCGTTATACTGACGATCGATTTGCGCGTCGTTATTTCGCCCTTTTCAGCTCAACTGCGCGAAATAAGGAAGACAAAGCTGGCGCGTGTGATTTGCGATAATACCGATCTCATCGACACCATTCAGGTTTATCCGATGGTGCTGCCCGATCACGAGATGTAAGTTTTCCTTTCAGTTGTCGATCATGCATTATTAAAGTATTATACGAAGAGCTCGGACAATAAAAGTGAAACTCTCGTTTCAGCAACCCACGTGTGCCGTGCAAGAGCGGCGTCCTTCCGAGTATCGACCTTTCCAAATGGGCCGAGTATCCGCAGCAAGCCTATCAAAATCCATTCGTTCGCATTTACAATACTCATTTCGGACAGCGTCTCTAAGTGAATGGAATCAAACTTTTTTTTTCATTATCTTCTAAGCTTACGTAGATGGACTGTTAAAGAATAAGTTAATAACACAACGCATCGGCGAAAACGAGCTTCTGTTCTTTCCTGTGTGTAGAGTAATTCAATGTATGTATATTTGATGTAAAGAACTTTTTAAATGTAATGAGATGCGAGAGATAGAGCAAGTGTGCCCGTTCGAACGCAATCTCGCTCACTGACTTGAAGACTATTTTTCCAATGAAAAATGCATATCCTTTCAAGTATTTTATACGTAACAAAAAATTGATGTTTTCCTACAAATGGAAAATCAGTTTTTTTAATATTATGATACATTAACTATTAACTCGAACGAGTTAATCTTGTACATTTTTAGCCGATAACATTAATATAACATGAAACTATTATAATCATAATTTAGTTAAGTCATTGAGGCTGGCAAGGAATTTATACAAACATTTTTTACATACCCATGTTCATTATTTATGAAAATAAATTATCAATTGGACGAAATTCTTTTAATGCTCGTTTATTCTATTTATCATCTATTTTTATTTTAGGGCACCTAATGATTTATCTCCCTTGATCTACATTTTTACTCAATTCTCGGACTATCTTTATTATCTTTATTTCTTTTGATGAGAAAAGGGGGAAATGAAATTAAGGTAAAAGATATCACGACAGGATACCGAAAAATTGGATTCATGTTGGGAACAAAAAATATATAAATCTCCCGTTTTTTCCTAGTCAAGCATTATAGGTTCACAGACTACCGTACGTAGAAGTTGAATTTGGAGTACTATTAAAGAATCTCATCGAAGTGAAACCATTGTCGTATCAAAAATGTATTCAAAACGATTCATTTTAACTTTGTTGGTCATAAGCATATTTTTATTCTCAATTGCAACAGCCCATATATCAGTCGGTAAGCTTATGCGTGCCAAAATCATTTCCTAATAAAATTATAATTGACATTTAATGGAATAATAATTATCCATTGCCTTTTCTTACAGGCACGTGTTTCAGAAACTGTTCGCAGTGCAAAAAATTTCTAGGGATATACTTCGATGTGCAACTTTGCGACGAGTACTGCGTCAAGTTCAAAGGAAAGATGACCCCGGACGTCGAAGATCCGGACTCGTTGGCACCTTTCATCACTAATTTGAACGAAGTTCAGTGATAAAAATTACGCGTGTGAACTTTTGAATATAATAATAGCAGTGCTTTTCTTATGAAATATACATTTTATTGATAGAATCTGGATTAATTACACAAAAGCATTAATCTTTACAAAATATTTTCTTACAATGTAAATCGACCGTAAAATAGTGTAAAAATATTGTGCTTTTATTTGAAGAGTTTATTTTATTTTATGCATGAGATAAACTTGATCCGTACTCTGGTATTATAGAAAGTGTTTGCTTAAACTCAAGTTGCTGTATCTGAAAAAGCAGAATTGACAAAGTATAAGAGAGCTAAAAAAATGCTTAAAAATAAATATGATTTGTGCGTACAGAACTATGTTTATATGAATTTTTCTAAACATTTTTATTGAAAACTCACTTGGTGCCTTAGTGCTTTTTCATTGGCCACGGCCTTCGCCAACAAATCCTTGACTTTGAGCAGTAGCTGCGACTTACTGTCCAGCTGCTGCCTGAGAAGAGCCACTTGTCCCGAGGCGCCCTCGTCGCACTTCTCCAGGGCCAAACTCTCCATGAGGGCCAGCCGCTTCTCGGTCATCTCGAGGTCCGTCTCCAGGTCGACGATCTTCTGGCTGGCCTTCTCGAGCTCGGCCCGCAGATAGTAGCAGTCGCAGGGCCTAGTCTCCATGTCGCTGTGCAGCAGATTCGAGCGCAGCCTCTTGTTCTCCTGCTGGAGCTTCTCCACCAGACTCTTCAGAGTCAGCACGGTGCGCTCGAGCTCGCTCTTGGTGCGCTGAGTGCCCTCGCGACGATTCTGCGTCGAGGTCAGCGTCGTCGTCGTCGTTGACGTCATCGTCGGGATGTAGCAGGTCGTCTTGGGGGTCGACAGCTCGGCCGACGCCGCCTTCTCCGACTTCATCAGCTCGATGTACCTGGGCAGCATCGATATCGCGACTTTTTTCAGCGATGCAATTGGTCTCTCTCGTGGGGGATATAATTTGGGACTCGGCACAATTTAAGGTCACACTTACATGAGGATGTTTCGCGATTACTTACTTTTCCAAGTGTTGTATTTTCTCTTCGTATCGAGGCATATTGACGTGGGCTCTCTCAAGTTCCAAACGCAGCTCGAAATTGTCCGTCTCGAGCTTCAAATTTTCTTTTTCCAAAATCTCTTGAGTTTCTATGAGAGTTTTCAGTTCTGTTTTTATGAAATCATTGTCCTGAAAAATCACGCGACAATTATATCATGTAAACTTTCTAATATCTTTCGAGAGTGCATCGTTCACTTTCCAGCTAAAACCGTTTATCATTTTCACTCGAGATGACAATTTTTTTTTCTTTTCAAGAAACCGCAGCAGAATGAAGTTAATTTCATCCGGCTCGTTTTGAGGAAAGAAAAGCATTTCGCTGTGCCGTAATAATTTTGCAGAACTTTACATATATTATGCGTTTATCTCGGCTGCACGTAACGTTAAGTCGCAGCGAGGTAATTGAGAAAAAAAGGCCCCTCTGCGAGCAAACGAACCTCGTAAGCGACCGATGCAAATCTCTTGATTTCGTCGCTTTTCTCGCTGTCCTGGCGGCTCAAGCGGCCGACCAGCTCCTTAATGCGCTCCCGCAGCTCCTGGCATTCTCTCTGCAGCTCCTCAACCAGCGCGTCGTTGTTGTTATTGTTGCTATGATGATGCTGCTGCTCCAACGGCGACGGCGCACCGCTGGACGACCACACCGGCACATTGACGGCGCTCTCGCCGCGAATGAACTTGCCGCGTAGAAACCATTTTTCCCGCTCCATGCAGGCGATGAGATTGCGCAGCTTGTCGTGATTCTGCTGCAGTTTCTGGCACTCTTCGGTCTTCTCGCGCAATTTTTCCTTAAGACGCTCCGCCGCTTTCTGCCAATTTTTCAACTTTTCCCACAGACCCAAGTCCTCGGCGGTCTGGAATCGAATGCGCAATCGAGAGTTTGATCGATTCTATTTGTTTTGACATTACATGATTAGCTGAATTTCAAATGCCTTTTTAATACTTACTTTGGCTCTTTTGGCTTGCATCGCAATGAAATGCCGGTCGAGTAGTTCTTTAGCTTCGTACAATTCTTCTTCCAATTCCTTGACTTTTCGTTCCAGTTGTAACTCACGCTTAGATGCTTTTTTCTCTTGAGTTTTAATGGCCATGTACCTATTAAACACATTTCAGCAGTGAAATCCTCAATATTTTATGGTTTTTATCCAACGAAATAGTTTATTAAACATAAAAGGACACACACTAACCGAAAGTGTAACATTTTTTTTTTAAACATTTTATGGCCATGTAATTTTCCGTTTTTTTTCTATTCAATCACTATTTTTTATTACATTTTATTACCATTTAAATACCATTAACATACACAGAACTTCTATCTCTAAAATTTTTCTGTTACTTATATAGAAATATTTTTACTTTATCACTTGCAGATTCACAAGTAAAGGTACTCGCCATCTACCGTTAGAGTGTAAGTGTTATCGTATTCAAAGTGATTGAAAAATTGTTTAGATTATTTTAAAAAATTTACTCGTCATTATTGGATTACTCAAAGTGCGCTCATTATTATCAACATAACTGTGACAGAAATAGTAGTTTTCGATACAAGGGCCAAAAAGTGTTCCCTATGGCCCGAGTATCGTACAACATTTTATACTGTGCTAAGTTCACATTTACGCCCCCTTTTCCAAGTGAGGTTAGCGCACGAGCGTAAGCGAGTGCGATACGAACGCAGCGGGGCCAGAATGTGCGACTTATGTCACGGAAAAGCGTGCCATAAATGTGAACTTATGCCATACAGTGCTGTAAAGTACTATTAAATTGTCATATTTTAGACTATTATTCATAATGAGCATGTGTGAAGATACGTATGAGAAAATGTAATTGAATTTACCTTCGGCTCAATTGCTGCTGTAACTCGGTAATTTCATTTTTATACGATTTTTCTTTTTCTATGTGAGCTTGAAGTTGTTTGCGTAGATTTTCTATGTGTGTTTGAGTGGGCTCGTAATCCGAACGCCTCGAGTCGTCGACCGTATAAGTAGTCGAAAACTTTTGAGATGCCACCGTCACGTGATCTTCCAAATCGTTCTAAAAAATGCAATGTAAATGATAAACAAACAAAGTAGCTTAATAAGTTTGAAAAGTTTTTAGAAAGAGATGCAGATTACAATGAATAATTTATTCGAATCAATTACACACCTCGATTTCTTCCGCCAATTTGTTGTCTTCTATTTTCAGAGCTTCCATGAACGACTGAATTTCGGATTTCGCTGACCGGCGCACTTCGCTCATCTGATAACGCAGCTCGTTCACCTCGTGCTGTCTTTTGATCAGCTCTTTACGATAACTGTCCATTTCCTCTTTGTGCTGCTGCTCCAATCTATAGTCGTGATAAATTGATATTTTTTTCCGAACAAACGAACAGGAAGAGAAGAGTAAGTAAATAAAATAAAATTTACCTTTGTCGGGTACTGTCCAAGTGTTTCAATCGATCCTCGGCCAGTCGATGCCATCTCTCAGCTACTTCATTGCTAACGTTTAGCTCTGATTCGAGTCGATGTAATTTTTCTTTAAGACTGAGGATCTCTTCCGACCTGTTGCTTCGAGCTGTTTCTCCAATCGGTATGTCTCTCTCTGGGTACTCGGATTCTTCATCTCTATAAAATGAAAATTTTCCAATAAAAATATTTTCCAATTGTTCGCGTTAAAGAAAACAAAAATATAACATACAAATCATCTAGCTTTATTTCAGGGACTTTCCTATCGGAGTAAATTTTTTTCAAGCTGCGAATTTCTTCCTGATATCTCTCAACAGCCTCGTTGTGTTTTTCACGATCCTCTTTCATCAACGCCTGATACCTCTCGATGGTTTCGTCCTTGCAAATCAGCAGCTTCTCCAAACTGCGCACCGTGGACAGCAGGGCCTCATTGGCCGACGTAATTTGGGCAATGTCCTCGCTTGATTTGGCGGGCTCGGCGGCGGGCACGACGTTGCTGCTTTTGGCGGTCAATTTTTCTTCGATGAGGTCGACGAGAGTCTGGTACTCCGCGAGGCCGGGTTCGCATTTCGCCACGGCCAGGGCGCGCTTCGAGGCCAGAGCCAGAGCTTGGCCAAGCTGCTCTTGCAGAATCGCCACGTTTGGCACTGTAAAATGCCGAATGTCGTTTACGTGATAAATTCTTTGGAGCGAAAAAGTGAAAAAAATGGTCACTCGGCTTACCAGTCGCAGAAGTGTCGTCTTTTTTATTTTGAACACCGTTACCGGTCTCGTCGTCGCTTTCGACAACGACTCTCTGCGATTCTTTGATATCACATTGACATTCGATCGACCGTAATTTTAATTCAACTTGGGTGGCTTTGACGGCAAATTGTTTTTCCATTATTTTTTCCGTCTCTTTTTCAACGGTCTCCGTAGCTACATCAACGGCTGAGACGCGTCGAATGGTTTCGCTTTTTCTCACTTGCCACGCTTTTTGTACACTTATCATTTCTTTCTCCATTAACTCTAATTTGGCCTCATGATTTGACAGGTCTACATTAGTTTTTTGTAGTTCTTTCGTTAATTGGCTGATCTGAAGTTTATACATGGACTCCTGAAAAATCGAATAAATTTAAAGCTCTGCAGTTTTGATAAGTATTTCCAAGTCAATACTTTTATACTACACTTACATCGATCATGTTTCTGGATGCCTCGTTAAACTTGAGCATCGTATCTTCGACGTCTTTTTTACCGATTTGCTGCTCAAGGATATCCTTCAATTGCTCAACGATTCTCAATCGAGTCGAGAGAGTTTCACGCTGTACTTCCAAGTTGTTATTACGATCGCTTATTTGGCCCAGTAATTCTTTCACTTCTTTTCGATCGTTGTTCAGCTTGTTCATGGCCGCCTCGAATCTCTCCCAAGAGCTCAAAGATGTCGAACCTGCGTACTGTTGTTGCAAAAATTCTATTACTTCGATTTGATTTCTGAAAAATATATTAATCGTTCAAATAAATTTGTCTAATGATTTTTCATGAATCGATAAAAAAAAAACTCAAATTCATACTCATTCGAGCTGAAAGTCGTTTGTCTTTGCTCGGCTATCTCGCCGTCGCTGTCCGACTCTCTTTTCCTATCCATCGTCTCCTGCATTTCCATAACTTTTCTCTCGAGCAGGCTGATCTTTTCGCGCAACTCGACCTCTACGACTTTGCGATTGGCTACTTCGAGCGACAATCTGGCCGTTTCGCGCAGTGCCTCGCCGTCACCGACCTCGAATTTGGCAATTCGTTTGCGCAAGTCGTTGAATTCCGCCAAGACGGTCGAGTCGATTTCCCGATGGACCAGGGCCTCCTCGTGCGCTATCTCGGCGGCTTTCTTCAGTCTCTCGTTTTCCGCTTTCAACTCCGTGATGTCGTCCGAGTATCCATCGTCCTCGGACGGATTTTTCCTAATTTTTGGTGACAATTGAGCCAAACGACTGTGCAAGACCACCAACTCGTTGCGCAGCTCGCTCATGGCTTTGCCTCGAAGCTCGTCGCTCTGCTCGGCGTACTTGGACTCGAGGGCCGATCTCAGCCTCAAGTTCGCGTCCAGACACTGTTGTTTCAAGCGCTCGTGCTCCTCCGGCGACACGCAGCTGCTCAGATTTCCGCGCAGCTCCGCTATCCTGGCCTCGAGGATCTTCTGCTTCTTCTCGGCGTCGTTCAGGGCGCGTCTGAAGTCGCTCTCCTGCGCGACCATCTCCTTGGCCATGGCGTAAATCTCCTCGGATCGTTTGCCGAGCGACTCGGCGTCGTCGGCCATGGGCGTGTCGTTGCCGCCGTAATAGGCCGCCACGTCGTCGTCGGCCTGCTGCATCTCCTCGAGCTCGGTGGCTTTGCCCGAGGCCCGGCCCGAGTCCGCGTTCTGCGAGTGCGAGCTTCGAGCGGATTTGGGCGAGTCGTGCATCGCGTCTTTGCGATGCGGCGACGACATTTCGACGGGGGGCGAGGTCGACCGAGGCTGGGAGCATTCGCCCTCCTCGACGCTGTCCGATCGATCTTGAATTTGTGCTTGCAGCATTATCTGATTTTTTCTGGGAAATAATTGCACGAAACATTTGAAATCGAAGATCTAGAGTTAAAATTTTAGACATCTTTTCGAGCAGCCTATCTACCTGATTTGTTGAAGTTGTGCTCTGAGCTCGGCGTTGCTTCCCTGTAAGTAATTAACGCGACCCTGAAGACGCATCGCTGGATGATACCAACCAGCTAAATGTCTTGCATCCAAGGCTTGAAGCAAATTTTCCAACGTTTCGGATTGAATCGTAACGATACTTTGACCTACAATATTAGAAAAGAAATTTTTTTCAGCCACTATAATGACATGTCGTTTAAACCATCCTTCTAATACAGTTATTTTTACTTTGCCACTTGCGGGTACAACAATCAAAGGTACTCGCCATCTGGCGGTGAAGATTTGACCACTTTTAAGTCGAGTTTAAAAATTAAGTTACCATTTACGAGTCATTAAAATACGCCTGATAATTTTAACATAATTATAACGGAAAATGAATATTTACAAGCCAAATGATATCCTCAGATCATTATTAACGTCTTATATTTTCACTAGGACGCAAGTTGCTTGATATATCAAACTTACCTTCTTGATTATGAATGCAATCGAGAATTTCGTGCATTCCTTGCCGCAGCGCCTCGTTCTCTTCAATGATCGACTTTACGTTTTCCTTTATTCGCAAAAGCTCAACGTGTTCTTTTTTCGATTCCGAGCGTTGACTCAGTTGATCCTGATTTTCACCGTCGCTCGATGTACCGTTCGATCTTTTCAGTTGATTTTTCAGCGTTTCTTTTAGCGCAGTTTTCAGTTTGCGAATCTAAATGAATTAATGCGATAAATTAAAATTGCTCACTCCTACGCAAAAGACATCTTTATTACCTGGAATTTCAAGCCGACATTTTCACTGGAAAGTTCGTCCAAATCTCGTTGCATCTTCATGATTTGCTCTTCCTGAGCTTTGTGCCGGTTGAGAACCAACTCTCCGAGGGAAAGATCTTCATCCTCCCCTGTGCTGGATTTATTTCTAAGAAAAAATAAAACCAATTCATGTAGCAGTATTTCGTTAATTCATGTGCTTTTTTGAATAACATTTTGTCTCTTTTACCGCAATATCACGATAGCTTCTTCCAACTGGGTGTTTTCTTCCTCAAGCTTATTGACGATGTTCACGAATTCTTCGATATGTTGATTTTTCTTCAACACTTGATCCTTCAAAACTCGAATCTCTTGGAACGCCTCTGCCAAGCTCGTATTTTCGTCCTCGTACTTGTTTAAAATCGCTAGAGCCTCGCAGAGCTTTGCCAAAGAAATAATATTTATTAGTCAAAACAATCAAGTAAAAATATCTAATATTGATTTGTCAAGAGGGCTCGCTGGATAAAATACCTGTTCACTTTTGACCTTGGCATCTTTTTCAACGCGCTCCAACAAATGCTCCAGAGTGCTTATTCTTTTATTCGCATCTGCCATCTTCTTGTTCAGCTCCCGCTGGTCCTTGCTGAGCCGCTTGGGACCGTCTTTCCTGCAAGCGTTACGTCGAAATAGCCGTTTGATTTCCCTCTCATTGTGTTTTATCGATACGCCGAATCACAAAGGGGGCGACGTTGCATAATTTTAAATTGGAAAAAAAAATACAGTGCGCTAAAGTTGTTGGGCGTGCAAAGGTAGAAAGCGGGCCGCGCATTTACTTACGCCTTGCAGTCCGATCTGAACTTTTCAATGAGCAAACTACTCTCGTTTATCTCGACAACTGCCTCGGCGAGCTTGCTCTGTAGCTCGGCTATTATCTCGTCGCGGCGGTCGATGTCCTGAATCAATCGCTCCATCTCCGCGTGGCTTTTCTCCTCCGGCGAGACGTTCGTCAGTCTGTCCGTAGCCATGAGATTCTCTTTGAGCTTGGCGATGGTCGTGTCCTTTTCGTCCAATATTTCCTAAGATGCGCGGTGAATATGTTTCGTTATTCGATGCCGATTTTCGTTGAAGAAACGAGAAGAAAGAAGCTGAAAGCTTCGGTATGATATACCTTCCACTCGACGATTCGGGCCTCGACAGCTATACCAAATTCCTCGATGATGGCGTCCCTTTGCGCCTGCTCATTGGCCATTTCTTCGATTTGAGAAACGAGAAGAGCATTTTCCTGCTCGAGGTCAGCCATTCGATCTGCGAAAAAAAATTCATTTACATAATCATTGTCGTAAATTGAAAAAGCATTAAAATAATTGTAACGGTCCACACCTTTGTATGAAATGTTTTCTTCTTTGATCTTGTTCATCTCCATTGTCATACTATTCATCTTTTCTACAGCATCTTTCATTTCAGTTGTAACAATCGCGAGTTTTCCCTTCAACTGGCCGATCACGTGCTCCGAATTCTGTCAAGCCGAAGGTTTTTTAGGTTACCCCAGACAGAGGTTAATAGTAATTAATTTTTAATTGATTTCAATAAATTTTATCAACAGTAAAAAAAATCTTACGTTCAAATCGATGGATCGTCGCTCTTTCTTCGACTCTCTCCGTTTCTTCACTGGACTTTCCATTTTTAGTAGCTTAACGATATTTCGTGGCAGACGTAAAATTATAAATCTATGATCTTATTTGTCGTCTATTAAATTATGAACAAATTGTAAGTTATTGTCAATAAGTAGAACACCATGTGTACTTATCAGATCTATCAGTAAATGATCATAAAACCTTGGAAGTAAATAAATGAACTTATGTCAGGTAACTCAATCATGTTTATCGATCTTTTCTGTTAACTTGCAAGCTTCATAGATTAAATTTGAGAAGGCTTCATAGTTGGCGAGGTTGAATTTCTTAAATAAATCATCTTTAATGATTTTATAGTGAATCGCTCGTTTGTCGAATTGATACAGTAAAGTACCTAACAAAAATAAAAACAAATTTTAAATATAAGTTCATAGGTGCCAAATTAATTCTTTAATTTTGCATTGAAAGTTGGCGAGACCAAAAACGTAATGAAAATGTTCAACCTTGTTTTTTAATATTTTAATGAAATACTTTTTGAGCAACAAATAACACAAATTAAAATAAAGAAATTTACATTCGTTTTAAAACAATAAATGGTATAAATTTAAGAAAAAAAGGTTTAATAATTTTCATTTCTTTCTTAAGCATACCATAAATATAAAATAATTACCTGCGATGATCAAATGTATCCGTTCTTCTGTTTACAATTTTATTCACACCTAGTTACTATTTATTTAAAACTTACTATTCTTGCGGCTATAACAAAATTTTAATAAATCGAAAAAAAGAATAATAAATAATCGAATGCCGAGACAATAATGTGGGAAACGACAATGAAATACGAACGTGTGTGTTTTTGATCCCGACACCTACTTGTACTACATGTCGGAATAAAGCCGCGTCAAGCCATGCCGAATGATTGATCAATAACACGATGAAGAGACGCGCTTGGCTTTGTCCGGTAAGCGCCATTTGAGTCAAACTCGAAAAAAATCATCACCATGATTACTAAATTAAATATTGTGCCTTGCTGTGTATATGTAGGTCGAGTCAATCGTCTGGAGAGGCTTAAGCGCGACTCTTGTTAAGATTAAAAGAAGATCGTGTGACGCGACCGATGAAAACGAGATGCACTCGTGTACGTGTTTCCGATTAAGCTCCGAAATTAGCGTCTAAAATTCTACAAAGCTCGAGCCAATTAAATACGGAATGAAAGAGACTAATGAACTAAAAAGACTACGAAGTACTACTGCTGCCGCCGCCACTGATCGCCACTCCACTCGTTGCCAATGTTATGCTCTTATTTCCATCCCTATAGCGACGTAAGCTCGCGACGACTACAAAAGTTATCATATCGAGGCTTTTTAACTTGACAAAGTGCGAGCTGTGCACGATTAATCCGTGGGGCTATATCTGTGCTGCAGTAATGCTGCTCATGTGTGGTGGTGCATGTGCCTGTGTTTGTGAGTATACGCGTAACCAATTTGCTACCGAAATCTAACTCTGTTACGTCTAAGAACTAAGATGACCGTCTTAAAATGTAGAAAATCATTGGCAGTATAATTTAATTGAATAATTGTTTAATAAATATTGGCAAAATAGTACAGCTCTTTACGCATCAGCCCTCTCTCGGTTAAAACAATACGCAGCACATAGCCCCATAAGACTCCCCTCCCCGGCACCCAACTCACCCCTTCGCACATGTTTGAAAAGAGTACAACGACATTCGAGGAGATAAGTAAAGCCTACGTATATGTTGTATTTCCCGCTAATACACTTCAGGTGTTCTCATATTTGCCGCCACCAGTGCTGCCTATGACCTTGCAGGTGTCTTTGCAATTCGTACTCCTTGCTTATCGCCGTACAAACTTTTTCAAATAACCCGTTCCAACGAAAGACCACTTTTTGTAACTATCGATTTACACATTATCTAATACATATTACATATTACATAGTACATTATATTACAATACACTTGAAAATCATTTTTAGCTCAAACACAAAAACTGTATCTAATGCCAGATGATCCAAGCCTACATTAACTATATGTCTTTACATATTAAGTTCACCATTGTACCGATTATAAAACATTCACAATAATTCTTTTCGTACTTTTTATTACTTACCTTTATTTTATTTTAATTCGACTGGAATAAATGACATATTAAAATGTGAAAAGTATCGTCGATTTCTGACAATAATCAAATTAAATAAGATTATACTCGATAGAAAATCATATCCTGTACAAATTGTCTGCGTTAGCACTGATTCGCTACGCCATTTTTCGGCTTTTCTCTTGAACTTCCGGAATTCTATTTTTTGGAACAGTCTTGCTTCGCTTTTCATAGTCAACAAAAACATCCAAGATGCTTGCTCTGTCGCGTATGCTATGTTGCGGATTGCTTGGAAATTTAAAATGATCAATGCATTTTATTTATGCAGAACTGCGAAGGGTCATATCATGATATACACGTATAATCCCTACGCTCCAATCGCATCGACGTTTTGGCAATTGAACAGAATTCCATCGACCACGGGCGAAAGGTGGACTTTATTTTCACACAGAATAAAGGATCATTTGCTCACTCAAGGTTAATATTCGACATTTCTTAAACTTCTTTTAATTCTATAATTAATATTTGAAGAAACTGCAGATCCTATATTTCACAATGTCTTGCGAATCAACAGTTTGAAGTAAAAGTCTTGTATTTTTAATCTCAAGTAATGAATTTATTTTAATTTTGTTGATAGTTTGTAACAATTACTCTTACATTTAGTTCAATACATGATTTACAATTTTCTATTTTCAGAAGAAAAAGATCATAAAATGTGTTATTTTGACCGATCGCTAGATGTGTCTGGTTACAAATTTATTATGAGTGCAGAATCCTCAATAAGATCACAGAGTTCAAAAAACGTATTGATCAAGGAGCGCCTTCGTTACGATACAGAAATTTACTTTAGCCTCATGAGTATGGCGCTCAATCACATCAATGCTACTTACGATATCAAAATATATTCTTATCTCGCTCCAACCGATGAAAAAGGAAATCCTCAAAGTTCATTTGCGGATATTGTTTCGGGAAAAATAGACTTCTCCACTCGACCAGATGTAATCGATGAGCATTGGAAAATGCAAAGTAATTTCATGAAAGACTCCATTTCCTTCTTAGTATCGCGCAAAACCACGACCAGTAGCTTGGAAACTATTTTAAAGAAATTTGATACCCAAGCTTTCATTTTGGCGTTCCTAGTAGTCATGTTGTTTGTCACTTTTTTACGAATCATTTTGCGATTATCGTGGACCGCGTCATTTTTCGAGTTCATTCGTCTGTTCACCAACTCGTTGAAACAAAGTGTATTCGGGAGAGCCCGCTACACATCGGAAAGAATCGCGTTAATAACTTTGATCTTACTCACATCCTTGATCGGCACTTTTTTCCTTACTTCGTTGAAAGCCTTCAGTACGTTCACCAAAATTCGTTCGAACTTTGAAACCATGCTGGATCTACGTAATTCGGACTATATGGTTCATGGTCTTCCCAACCATGTGAGACGTTTCCAAAAGGATATTGGAAAGGAGATTCATTCGTACAGCAAAATAACCTCGTGTGTGGATAAACTTTTAAAGAATGAACGAATTGTATGCATCGCGAATTCTCTACAACTCAATGGTTTTGGCATTAAAGAAAACGAATACATTCATATATCCAAGCCTGTACTCTCGACGCAATACGATGGTTATCACTTTTCGCCCGATTTTCCGATATTACCAAAATTTAATCGGATTTTACGACGGATGGACGAAGCTGGACTCGTACGGCATTACGTGGAGCCTTTGAGATCGTTACACACTCGTTATCAGAAAGAGAACAAGGGCAACAGAGGTGGTGAAGTGGGCTACCTGATAGTGGTTCTGTACACCGGTTGCGGAATAGCAGCCCTTATATTTTTATTTGAATTTTTATTATCAACATGTACATGTAATCGAAATAAGAATTTCGATGTAAAAAGAAAATTCAACCAAATAGAAAAGGGACCCAGAAGTACCACTTAAAGTGCGTTTATATATTAAATTTGACATTTATTTCCTGTAGTGTTTCGATCTTTGCTTTGATTCTAGCTCTTAGAGTGAAAATTAAGAAAAATCCGTCACCACATGCGGATCCAAAAGCCAATCATTATTGCACGCCGCAACTCAAAATACTGAAACTAATTTGAAAATAATTTAAAGAAAATCTGAAAAAATTCATTCGTGTTCTTTTTAGGAACTTTAAAAATTTTTTTATTTTGATTTGAGTTTGTTAATTAAATTGGGCTTGAATTTAAATTTCTTTGGGAAATTTTGATAAAGTTTACATTTTAACTGTTCAATTCATTTATGTGAATTATGTAGAAAACATGTAACATTAAATAACAACAATTATAAAAAAATACAGCGATTACGATTATGCTTTGGACTTTTGTAGATTTTCCATAAATTATATTAGTACACAAACTCTTATTGTTAAGCACACGATCATTTAAAGTAAATTATTTCAAACTCCAAAGTTGACTATAAATGTACCATAAATATAAATTCATGAATTGAAAACATTCACAATAAAAAACGAATTAAATTATTACAGACTGTAGTTTAGTTTGGTAAGTTTTTATTGGCATCATATTTATATAGCGCTGCTGGTCCAGACTGCAGACTTGTGTCCGGCTGATGACTCCACCTGGGAAGACAAATCGGAACTTTATACGTGATAGATTACATCCTTACTCCAAAATATTAATGCAGATTGCAGACGCACATGAACTCTGTCGAGTGCAGGCACTGTAGATGGCATATTACGCCGGCTGCCTACTGTCAGTTGTCGCCGTCAGTGCGTCAGTGCCCACATAACCTCACTGTAAATGTCATTAAATCAAATAATATAAGTATAAACAAAGGTATACAGTATAGACCATGAACTTTTTGAATAAACGTATCTTGTGAACGATACGATAGATTCTCTTGAAATTCGGATAGCAGTTTTTTACTAATTAAAACTACCCTCTCCCCGAATTTTAAGAAAGTTGTATAAAATTCATTTTTACTAATGTAACATATATGTACCTTGATTATAGACTTGGGCATAATCGTCTGCTGCTTCTTCAAAAGTGCTATGTTATGAGCTTGTGTCAACAATTGTAAATAAGTATATAAAAAATGACTGAAAATAAGATTAATCTTGTCCTATCTGGGTCTGATGTTTTTGTCTGGAGTGCAGATGGTAAATAATTATATTTTATGAATATCGCTCTAGTTCTGAAATTTTCTAAATTAATTATTTATTTTCAGAATGGTTAGAATTAAGACAAAAGCATAGAATCATAGCCAACTGCATTGGCAGCATAGCAAAAAATTCGAGACAAATAAACATGTCAGGCCTACCGTTACTCTTACAGCCAGAAGAAACTAAACTGTTATTAGAAAAAAATATTGGTCATTTGGTTAGTTTACCAATATTAAAGGAAACACCTTCGGATTCTCTGAAGAAGAAATTTGAAAATTACAGAAATAAACTGTATGAGGAACAGCAAGAGTGTTTGAAAAATCAAAGAATGACACAGGTTGGATATTACTCAAGTTTTAAAAATATTTATTGAATTGTTCAGGAAAAAAGTAATACTTGAATGAATTGCAGATAGTTTCCATGATGGATCGAATTATTGATGGAAAAAAAAGAAAAATGTTAGGTTTGAATACTAGTAAAAGAAAGCGAAAACAAAGTCTGGATGATGAAACTGAAAAATCATTAGAAAGTATCAATATTGATAGAAATGCTTTAATTGAAGAAGAAATGGCAAAATTACCAAAATTAGATAAAAGTGATGCTCTTGTACAAACACATACGGGTAAAAAATTAATTAATTTTGTTTAAAAACTGTTCATTTAAATTGTTTTTATCTTAGTATTTCCATGGCATTCTGGAGGAATAAAAATTGAAGATTGGAGTTATCCTAACAGTGAAGAAGAAATTTTACGTTACAAAGTATTCAAAGATCTGTGGGAAAAAGGTTTTTACATAACTTCTGGAGATAAATTTGGGTGTGATTTTTTAGTTTATCCAGGTACATAGCTCTTCATATAACTTTTGATAATGAATATAATTTTAGTAATAAACAATATATATTTGTAGGTGATCCAATCATGTTTCACTCTCAATTCATGATAATGTGTCGTAGAAGGGATGAAAAAATGTATGTAACTAATTTGGTATTCGACATGAGAGGGGGTAACAACGTACGTAAGACTACAGTATATGCAACATTATCTAAAAATGGCGAAGAAGTAGAATACTTTTCTTCGAGATGGGCAGGTTCGTAGAGGAATTATAAATTCATAAAAGAAATACATGTAGAAATTTAAAATATTTCAACGCTATTTATTCTTAGAGAAAACTATGACATGTACAAAACAATATTTAGATTTTATTCACTAATTTAAACCTATTATGTTGAGGTTTTGGTATAACATTAAAATACTTTTTGTAAAGTGGTTGATTTTCTCTGCCTTCATAATGCCTTTCAACCCAGGTATGATCCCACTTAGGTTCAAATTTTTCACAAGTTACTACCACTTTACCAGGTACCATTGCATACAATGTTCCATTGCGTCCAAAACCCACCTAAAATACATTCATATGTTGAGTCACTAAATTCATTCATTTTTTTATTTGTATAATCAATTATGATAGTAGAGATTACGTTTAACCCTGGATGCCAGCGTGTGCAATTTTGAGTGGCTAGTGATGTTCCAACTGTAACTACAGAACCATCTTGTCTTTTCCATCCTCTATGTTTTGGCTTGGAATTTCCAGCGTTTGATGTTGTACCAGATGTCTTTTTGGCAGCATTACGACTACACACTAGAAAATTCAAAATTTCGTGAATCAATTCAAATCATAGACAACAAAAACATATCTTTTGAGCGAAAAAAAATGTAATTATAGGTTAAAAATCATTGCATATAATGAAAATAAGTACCCTTAATGCAGGATGGTATTGTTTTCGATTGAGGTGTTTCGAAACATTTCCAAGCCAAATTTGCTAATGTTGCCATTGCCGATATGGTTTTGAAAAATCAACCTTCAGTTTTCAAAGTAATCAAACAGTTTCTTCGAAAAACGCATCTAAGCTCTGTGAGCTTCAAAAACAGAACGCTAGCAGACGATTTATTCGAAGCCCACTGGTAAAGAAGGTTCACGCTAATATATGTCGACAGACAAGTGATAGAGGGCGGTATACAATTATTTTTATGCGCAATCGCATAATAAATTATTACTTAACATAAGAATCGTCTAAATTGTATGCATCATAATTAAAAATTAACTTTTGATAAATTTATGATTTCAAATTGTTTTTAAATTGAATTTATGAACTTTATCGAGTTTAGGCTTATTATATAATTTACATTGACGCGGAGTCGAATATTTTTAAGATTAAAAGTGACTTTGAATCCATAATTTAGACTTTACCAACATAATCGTCAATAATTCATAAAAATATTATCTAAGATTTATGCTGCATTGATAAAAAAATACGGTCTCTTTGAACTCGCGATCGAGCATAAGCTTTATTTCGAACTTAATTTCGAAATCATTCGTTGAAAAAAAACAGGTTTTGTTCAAAGCGAAAACGAGTCATTCGTGTTTGTAAACAACGGAGTTAAGTAAACTTTATTTCTATCTTTACTCAAAATTTTGCGCGCTGCTTCCTTTCATAGAAATCATACATTTTATAGATATGATGCAAGCCTTATTAAAAGAACCTTCAATTAATCAATAACCGCATTCCGTGAGGTTTTATCAATTCGTAATTTCGTGGTGTGAACGCATCATAGTTCCTAAAATATGCATTACACAAATATCAAAGATAAGAAAAACTATAAAAATAGCCGCAGAAGTTTAAGATGAAAAAACTGCCATACTTTGTGTCACGAGTAATTGTTATTTCTATTGAAAGCTTTTATTTAATTAAAGGTATAATTTTACATTAAAAAACGCTTTTAATAAAGCGTGAAAAATGCAAATGTCTCATGCGACCATCGGATATTTCATTATTTATTGTCACAGTCCAGAACAATATTTCTGTATAATCAAATTCTCTACATTAATGCAAAAGCACGCCCGCCAAAACGTATTATTTCGTTATCTCGCAATTTTCATAATCCTTCGTGATTAATTGACAATTCTCTCATTCATATTTTGTCGTTTTCCGCTACTACGAACGTCAAAATTATTTTGATTTTGACCACCAACAAAGCTGGAATGTATAAAATAATTCTTCATAAATCCAAGCTCTCACATATTCTCTTGAAAGTACACAATATAATCAAATCACTCGTGTAGGATATAATTCAGTTTTTTTCTTCTTTCGTATTTGATTTCACGCTGTATCGGATCGTTATCAATACGTACTTGAAAGATCGACATCGGTCTGTATTAACGAAAGGCATCTTGTAATGCGCATTTACACACACACAGCGTATAAGCAGCATCAGTTGAATCAACCGTATATAAAATCATCTTGAAATTGAACGCGTACGCAAAAATGTGTATGAATCTGCGGCTCGCTTAGTGTACATGTATTCTCTCTTATGCGTACGTTATATGCACGCGTACAAATGCACTTAAGTTGCATGCGTACGTATATGCGCGCGATCCATGCTATACGCGTATTATATGTGTGCGTAAAAGAGTGTGTATATATCACAACGTGAAACTTCCTCCGTTTACGGACGAACCACTACAACCCCATTGAGTGACCTATTACGGCTCGAATGCCTCTGTGTTATTTCTTTATGATACGATTATGCTTGCCTATAGGATATATATAATGTTGACGGCGATCTTTAAAAATACCTCACGCATTATGATTTAGCAATTATTTTTTTAAAATGACGCCGAAGCCTTGTTTTTTACCGACCGAACCCTAAAAATGTAAATTTAAATAACTTTTTTACTAGACCGATTTTCGAAAAACGGCTCTGTGGAGCCCTCCGTATTGATGCTGCGAACAACTGCCAAATTTCATCTCATTTCATTGAACAGTTTTTCCAGAGAACGGGATCGAAATTTTTGATTTAGGTTTTCAAGCTTAAAAATTTCAATTCCGTTTTCCCGAAAAACAGTTGAATGAAATGGGATGAAATTTGGCAGTCATTCACAGCATCAATACGGAGGGCTCCACAGAGCCGTTTTTCGAAAATCGGTCTAATAAAAAAGTTATTTTATTTTACATTTTTAATGCACGGCCCGTCAAAATCGGGGCCTCGGCATCACCTTAACAAAACAATTACGAAATTGATGGGATTTTCAGATATTGTTACGAATAGTAATTACCGAGATAACTTTAAATCAACCAAGCTTGATCATATCGGCTGGGAAAGCTTTAAACGATCGAATTCAATGGACTTTTTACTGGCGAGAAATCTCGGTTATTTTACACCACGGTATAATAGAGCCGATGGAAGGAACAAAAGACTCCGCGCGTTGATTCATGTATTTAATGCTCAAAAACTGCTCTATACATGCTCTGGATATGACAAATGGCATCAAGTTCTATTGGCACATTAGCATAACGTTCGAGTATCTGTGCCGACGAGTATACGAAAAGATGGGCGCAATTACGCGGCATCGGCCGCGATGATGATCGCCTATTGCGTGTCTGTGAGATGTGTATAAGCAGTTTAGCTTCGATATAATGTGTCCCTTTCAATCGATATTAAAACGTTATAATATGTCTCCGATTCGGTGCCTATAATGTATTTGCTATATACATATCGTAGTTATATATATTCGGTCCGATTAGCGTACATAATATATAATACAACCGAACGCCATGGAGCTCGCTAAAGAGTTAGAGGATATCGTATCGGAGAGCTGCGCTGCGCTGCATGCGAGCTGGCACACACGGGTGGTGGCTATAAAGCCAACGGAGGTGGAATTCAAAACGATACTACAATATGCATGCGACAGATACACTGCGAGAGGCTGCGGATAGGATACGCGCACGTACACACGAGTGCATGAATATATCTCTGTGGGTATGATACACAAGCCTGTGTATATATATGTGCCCCCCTCGTATGGCAGCGGCTGAACGGCGGCGACGGCGACGGCGATCGAGCCTTTTTGCAATAAGTAATAGCGGCAGCAGCAGCATAGCAGCCCAACTTCGCACCGCACTCTTATATATACCTATCAGTATCGCTTGTAAACTCGCTTACTTACAGCCTTTCTCGGCTGCCATGTACACGACCGCGCGCGAGATAGATAGTGTGCACGCGTGAGACCGATCCTCGCTCGTCTTCGGACACGCAAGTGGGCTCCGGTACGCGTCCTTTCGCGGGGCTGCCGATTTTCGCTCATCGAGATCGGTATATGGTGTGCGATTAAGTGCGACGATGAGCCGCGCGCGATGCATCGATTCGCGAGGATCGATATAGTCGGATCTCAAAGTTGATTCACGCGATCGTGAAATTCCTTTTGCCGATTTTCCAGTGAAGTACCGCGTTTGTTGCCGATCGCGAGAGTCCGGTAAAAATCGTTTCGATTCGCAAGCTCTCTTGCTGCAGGACTGCGGTGCGCGTTTTATTTTTTTTTACGAGACCGCGCATTGAATCGGACTCGGAGATTCTTGTAAAAATTTAGTAAAAAAAAGTGGACATCATGCAGATCTCCGCCGGTTGACTCGAGACTCTGTAAAAGTCATCTACACCGAGCAATACAACACAACATTTCATCGACTGCACGATCTCTCGTTCGAGAGCAGGCAACGCGTGTGCAACGCAGCAATCAGCATGTAAGTTAATACTTTGACGCAGCTATTACATTGAGGCAATAAAAAAACATAAAATATATTTATGCAATTAGCGCACGCACTCGTAGTACCGGTAAATCGTGCCGATCTCTGATTGTCGAACGTAAGAAAATTATCGTCTATCGCAATTATAAAAAAAAAAAAAACACGCGATCATGTTTATTCGGGTGCATGGAAATATTTCGTGAATTTTGCAGAAACTACGTATCAGGCTCGTTTAAAAGTGTTCGTCTAGGATTTTTTTTGTACGCGATGAAACCCAACGACGACTTGTTATTGCTCAACTCACTGCACCACGACTTGGAGCTAATGATCGGCAAATAGATTAGAAATATTTTAAGATATCTCGCGATCGCGGCGAGTACACATTATAGCATAAGGTGCTCTGCTATATAAAGGTGGCATTAATTATCAAGTTTGCAACTCAATCGCTCGGGTGCTATTAGTCTTTTCGCACGGTAAGCGCAGTAATAAACAGAGGGAAAGAGAGAGAGATATTTGCCTTTCGAATTTTACGGGAGCGTTGCCTATTAGAGAGCAACCTTACGTAGAAGCGCGCGTGGCTGCAATTCTCAGGGCCTCTAATCTTGCGTACATATTAGTCTTTTGAAAAGAAAAAAATGTGAGTAAATTTAGAGCTAAGTTATTTAAAAAAGTCTCTACTCGAGGGCAGCTAAAAATCAAATAAGTTTTTCTAGCTGATACAATCGGTGCAGCGAATGTTTGTTATTCTATCGTAACTCGATTACTTCTCAAAGAACTGGGAAAAGTATAAAAGAAACTCCTGTATGGTGGAAAAAAATGTAAAAATAAAAAAGCTGAAAAATCGTTAGGCGAGAGAGAGAGAAAGAGAGCGAGAGGTCGAAAGATGGCCGGATGTCGATTGGTGCAGTGATTCGATTGATTCGCTGAAGAGCTTACGGCGGCTTCCAGCGAACTTCCGAGTGGCCCGCGTGCTCGTTATGCCGATCGGGGATATATGTAGCAGCGGTGGTAGTATAGTAGTAGTGGACAGCAGAAGCAGCAGCAGCAGCAGAAGCAGTCGTTGCATATAACGTGTGCTGCTGCTGCATCATGCCGTACAGAAGAGAGCGAGCGGGACAAATGGCTAGATAGAGCCCGAGCGAGAGAGAAAAATTAGTCGGTCGTGGCCGAGTTAAGTGGAAGAGTCAGCGGAAGAGTTGAACGAGAGAGTGCGAGAGAGAGAGAGAGAAAAAGAGATCGTTCGAGGTTGGACGCCTATATGCATACGTGTGTGTGGGCAGATGAGCGCCCGATTTTTCCCTTTCCGCATGCAACGTTACTTTGTCCTTTTTTTTTTTTTTTAAATACATGTACGATGTTTGATTGTTTTTACAATTTCACGGCTAATTCAATTTGTATTTTGTTAAAGTACAATTATCAAACGATTGACGATCCGTCTCATATTTTTTCTTTATTTACAAAATGCAATATCCTCGCGATAGCCTCATACACACAATGCGGCTCAAGTGTATTATATTTCAAAACACCCTCTCGCAGCTTCTCGTATGCACAATATTACATACACTACTTGCACGCAGGTCTGAATCAATTGATTTGGTTGGTCGTCGTGGTCGTCGTCGCGCAAGGCTCAACGATAAACTTCCTCGTTATAATAATACTTTTTAACGACAGGATTGAATGTGCGCCTCGTCGGGCTATTTTGATGATGGTCAAAATTACATACGTATACGCGTTTGTATAGCCGTTCGCGCGCGCAACGACAACGACTATTCGTTATTACGTCTATGTAATCGTAACTTTTGCCATTAAGCCTAGCCGATTACATGTAGTAATGGTAGTCTAATTGCATACGCGCGCTGTAATTTGACATTCTCATCTGCCAGAGTTGCTGAGGCTGCCGTGTGCATTGGCTATATACGCCGACTCGCTCATAAGGGAACGAAATTGATTTTAACATCCGTCATCGCGGAGCATTTGATCGGTTTATTTTCCAATTCGAGCTACGACGCTAATACATTCACCTTGAAATATATATATTATATAGAATATATATAAGGCTTGTGAGCGACTCAGGGTTGATGGGATGTAGGTATGTATAAGCGCTCGCCCGAGTAAATAAACTACTTGCGCTGCAGCAGTAGTAATTGCTGATGATGTTTTGACACGAACCGATGATGATGCTGCAGCAGCTGCTGCTGCAATACGGTACACAGGAGCTCGCGCGGCCTTAGATTTTAATATAGCGGAAAGAGACGACGAGCCGCAGCGCAACGTGAGAAAACTACGCAGCTTCTTGATTTTTTTTTTTTTATAAAATTACGAAAGCACATAATCGATCGTGCGCAATGATGCGGTTCTGTGAATTGCAATTTTTTTTCTGGTTACACTTGTTCTGTATTTACGAATTCGCGCGTGACACGCTTGTGTGGACGTATATGATCTCGATGAAACATCGACCTTTGCGCGTGAAACATCGTTTTTTCATAATGACTTGGAAAATAACGTTGCGCAACTCGAAATGAGAGTGAGAGATGGAAAAACAATATATTTTACAGGTTTACTTGCGCGACGCGCATTGTTGTATTAGCTTATAGATAACAATCTCGCGAACGATAAGAACTCTGCAACTCTATATCGCAGAAATGATGCGACTACCTGCTGCCGTTGTCCTGCAAGCTTACCTCCAACGTAATTAGGCGGTCGAAAAATCAAATATCTGGTAATTGGTCGAGTCAAGCCCGATGTGTCGTTGTGTTTTGCTACTGCAGCTCGAATCATCAGCGATTCGAAACATTAGAGTCGGTCGGACTTTGTCGGGCTTTGCCATAGCTAGTTTATTCATTTAGTTCACGTTCGCAAGCTTCGTTCGGCGCGCATGCGATGAAGCTAATCTCTACTCGTTGCGAGAGATTCGTAGCGGAGAGCAATTTGCATATCACAGTCTCTCAAACTCTTTCTCTCGCTCCGTCTATCTCTCTCTCTCTCTCTCTCTTTTCGTTCGTTTTATATATTAACTACGACGAAAGAAAACACGGCGCTTATAGCATAACAAACGACGTGTGTCGAGGACTTAATCTGAAAAATCTCGCGTATTATAATATGCGTCATGCTCGAGCTTCGCGTCTGTAGCTATAACAGCAACAGCTACCAGTGAAAGCCTCTCGTAAAGAGACTCACCGCGAAATTTCAAACTTGGTCTCGAGCGTCAGCGCGGCCGGGCGCAAAACCCTCGACACGTTGTCCACATAGGCGGATTTCAAATTAAATACGGCTCCAATAGCCGAAATCGATTTAATCGATCAGAATTTTTATCCGACTTTTTCTTGCATAGATACTCTTACTAGCGAGATTCTACTTTTCATACTTTTTTGCGCTCTGAACGTGGTTCATTGGGCTCGTTTTTTCCATCTTTATACGGCAAAAACTGCACGAGGCACGCAACATTGTATCGCACTTCGTAATGATATACCATCACGCCGTGTATATCTTTTACTGTATATGTCGAGTGTGTTCTGCAAGTGGCTACACACGGTATACACACATACGCACGTCTGCAACGTCGTATATAACTTCGACTACTTGACTTACTTCTTCTGCGGTGTTGGCTATGCAGCCCGAGTTTATACAGGCACGGTAATGCTCCGACGCATGCAATCGTTAAGTACGTGTGTATCATGGAAATAGCGACGACCGTACGACGCGATCATCGCATACATACGATGAAAGAGGACGCATGCGCGCACCCGCTATTAGGCGTACTTGCGACCGCAGTAGCTCTTATTATACCTATATTTGTTGCAGTTCGTCCGTTTGTTGTATACGGATCCGCGGCTGCGGCGGCGGCGGCTATGGTAGGCTAGGCGTATCGCGCGATCGCCACGGCAGTTTCGATTCGTTCGAACCTTTTGCACGTGTATAAGTGATCGTGTATACACGTATATCGCACCTAGACTAGGTCGTGCACAACACCAACGGCGACGCGATTCGCAAATCTCGCGAGGTAGTAACGGCCGCAGGTGTACATACGTCCGAGGGCTGCGATGCACATTATCGCACGTGTGCAGCGCGAAACGACCCCCCGCGATCATGGTCGTGTTCGAAAAGCCAATCGAAAGACATCACTACATCTACCACTACTACTGCACGACTGCGTGGCTCGAATTGAAAAATCTAGTTCATAGGGATAGTATCGACGATGTTTGTGCGGATAGCCGAAAGGATTCGCCAGTTGTGGAATGTTTGCTCGATACAATACTATGGCGATGACGTACTCCTCGGGTTCGCTAGTGGTAGCGGCGACGAAAAAGAAAAAAAAAATACAACGACCTCTTGTAAGTTTTTTTCTTTGCTCGCTTTCAAATCCACCGATCTCGCACGATATAATTTCGAATTGTTGAGCTGGTTAGATCATTGTTTTATAATTCCCGTTTTTTTGTTGCTTTTTCGCTCTTAAATTTTTTTACACACGTGTGTTTTGGGCATCGAATCGTTTTATCAAGCTCACGCGCCGAGTCATGATTTTGGAGCCGCGTATACGTATCGAAGCGTGATATTAACTCGCGAAAGCAACAGATTTCGAAGGTTGCTTTTTTTGTACATGCGAAAACTGCCTATTCCGGTGTCTCACATCGTTCGCTACGATACCTACATAGGTAATTTATAGACATAAAAAAGACGCTTGCACGAATAGACGTATATCTAGATGAGCTGCGGTGCGATATATAAACTGCTTAGAGTATGTGTCGCGCGCGACGATCTATTAGGGCCAGTGAACTGTGTGCACGAAAGAGAGAGAAAGAGAGAGAGAGAGAGAAGCGCTAACTCGTGCACGCGCGACGAAAAGAAAAATATGAAAATTTTTCACCAAACGAGATGTTGCTGATGCTGTGTATAAGCTCCTGTTGCTGTTGCTGCCACGATGCCGATCAATCAACTTTACATCGTCATCGCTGTCGACAAGTTATTACTTATTTTATTATCTCACGGGACGAAAATTG